TCTTGAGCTGTGTGTATATGCTTGTGCTTTATTGCATACGTGTTACTTTTGCAGGGACTGTTTTAGTGCTTAGTATGCCTGCTTACGCATTATTTGACTCTGGATCTAGTCATTCTTTCATTGCTTCTACCTTTGTTCGACATGTGGACCTAGAGCTAGAATCGTTAGGCTTTTTGTTGTCGGTATCCATACCGTCAGGATCTGTATTGGTCACTAGTCAAGTGGTGAAAGGAGGCCAACTCTCTTTCGATGGTCAGACCTTGGAAGTAAAGTTAATCCAACTGGATATGCAGGATTTCGATGTGATACTAGGCATGGATTGGTTGGCGGCTAACCGAGCTAGTATTGATAGCTCGAAGAAGGAAGTAAGCTTCCGCTTGCCCTTCGGACAAAACTTTACCTTTAAAGGAGTCAAGGCCAGGGTTCCGAGGGTGGTGTCGGCATTGAAGGCCAGCCATTTTTTCCCTACGTGGTGCTTGGGCCTATTTGGCTAGCATTGTGGATGCAAGGAAGGTTGTGTCGAGCATTGAGGCAGTTCGTGTGGTTAATGAGTTCACTGACGTGTTCCCTGAGGACCTCCTCGGCTTGCCTCCGTCTCTTGAAGTGGACTTTTGTATAGAGTTGCTGCCAGGGACGACTCCCATCTCGAAAGCACCTTATCGAATGGCTCCGGCAGAGCTGAAAGAGCTGAAGCTACAGTTGGAAGAACTACTCGACAAGGGTTTCATCCGCCCAAGCGTGTCCCCTTGGGGTGCGCCCGTGCTCTTTGTCAAAAAGAAAGACGGTTCTATGCGACTTTGTATAGATTACAGGGAACTAAACAAAGTTACGGTTAAGAATAAGTATCCCCTACCTCGCATCGATGACCTTTTTGATCAGCTTAAGGGAGCGAAGGTGTTCTCGAAGATAGACTTGCGTTCGGGGTACCACCAGTTAAGGCTAAAGGAGGCTGACATTCCAAAGACAGCGTTTAGAACAAGGTATGGGCACTATGAGTTCATCGTGATGTCTTTTGGACTCACAAATGCTCCGGCAACCTTTATGGATCTAATGAATCGAGTCTTTAGGGAGTATTTATATTCATTTGTCATTGTGTTTATCGATGACATCCTGATATGCTTCAAGACTGAATAGTGTCACGAGGAGCATCTCAGACAGGTTCTGACTACACTACGGGAAAATAAATTGTATGCAAAGTTTTCAAAGTGTGAGTTCTGGCTGGACAAAGTGGCTTTCCTAGGACACATAGTCACCAGGGAGGGTATTGCAGTAGACCCCGCCAATGTAGAGGCTGTTAGCAATTGGCCAAGACCTAGTTCAGTTACAGAGATTCGTAGTTTCCTCGGCTTGGCTGGTTACTACAGGAAGTTCATTCAGAATTTCTCTCGGATAGCGGCACCGTTGACGCAGTTGACTCGTAAGAACGCTCCCTTCACTTGGAGCAGCGAGTGTGAGGAGACTTTTCAAGAACTAAAGAGGCGTTTGGTGTCTGCACCGGTGTTAACTGTCCCCGATGGGATGTGAGGTTTGGTGGTTTACAGCGACGCCTCGCGAAAAGGCTTGGGATGTGTGCTGATGCAACATGGGAAAGTTATAGCTTATGCTTCTCGACAATTGAAAGTGCATGAGCTTAACTACCCCACTAATGACTTAGAACTAGCAGCAGTTGTCTTCACCTTAAAGTTGTGGAGGCACTACCTTTACGGAGAAAGAATTCTGGTCTTCACGGATCATAAGAGTTTGAAATACCTTTTCACTCAGAAGGAGCTTAACTTAAGACAGAGACGGTGGCTAGAGTTGGTGAAGGATTATGATTGTGAGATTAGTTACCATCCAGGTAAAGAAAATGTGGTGGCCGATGTTCTTAGTAAAAGGGCGGCAAGTGTGGCATCTCTTGTAGCGGTTTGCAGTCCAATACATAGCGAGTTGGAACGTTTGGAGGTAGAGCTGACGGTGGATGATGTCTCCGCGTTGTAGGATCGACTCTCAGTGGAACGTAGCCTGAGACAGAGGATCATTGTTGCCCAAAAGGAAGACCCTAGCTTGGCCAAAGGCTTTAGTATGGTGGGCCATGGGGATTTCACTCTCTCGGGTGACGCAGCTTTGCTTTTTCTCGGAAGGTTGTGTCTGCCAAAAGATTATTCTTTGAGGAAGGACTTACTGGGAGAGGCACACAATATTCTATACTCGGTCCATCTAGGAAGCACCAAAATGGACCAAGACCTTAAGAAACATTACTGGTGGCATAACATGAAGAGGGAAATAGCTCAGTTTGTTAGCAAGTGTTTGACGTGTCAACGGGTAAAGGCTTCAAAACACAGACCTGCGGGATTGCTGCAACCTTTGAGCATACCAGTTTGGAAGTGGGACGATGTGGCTATGGACTTCATTACAGGACTACCAAGGACGGTTAAAGGATTCACGTGATTTGGGTAGTTGTAGATTGTTTGACCAAGTTTGCTCACTTTATTCCCGGCAAGGCCACGTATACAGTAGAAAATGGGCGGAACTGTATTTACAGTAAATTGTCAGGCTACATGGTATACCGGTATCCATAGTGTCCGATCGCGACCCGCGTTTCACCTCGACTTTTTGGCGGACTTTACACAAGTCCCTGGGCACTAAGTTGGACTTTAGCACGACGTTTCACCCCTAAACCGATGGCCAGACGGAGCGTGTGAACCAGGTTTTAGAGGACATGCTCAGAGCTTGCATGTTAGACTTTGGTGGTAGTTGGGACAAGTACCTCTACCTAATAGAGTTCGCTTATAATAACAGTTTTCAGGCCACGATTGGGATGGCCCCATACGAAGCAGTGTATGGCAAGGAGTGTCGGTCTCCGGTTAATTGGGACGAAGTCGGAGAAAGAGTTCTCTTGGGACCGGATTTGGTGTAGGCGACTAACAGTGCCATTCAAAAGTTCAGGGGAAGGATGCAAGTTGCACAGAGCCGTCAAAAGAGTTATGCAGACGTCAGGCGTAGGGAGCTCGAGTTTGTGGTAGGTGAGCGGGTGTTTCTTCGTGTGGCACCCGTGAAGGGAATTTTGCGATTTGGGAAGAAGGGAAAGCTCAATGCAAGGTTCATTGGGCCTTTTGAAATTTTGGAATGTATCGGCCCGGTCGCGTATAGGTTGCCTTGCCACCATCGTTGGCAGTGGTTCACAATGTGTTTCACGTGTCTATGCTGAGGAAGTAGATTCATAACCCTTCGCACGTTTTGGACCCTGAACCATTACAACTAGATGAGTCCTTGTGCTACGAAGAGGTATCGTCAAGATTTTGGCAAATGAAACCAAGTTGTTGAGGAACTGGACGATTCGCTTGGTTAAGGTTTTGTGGAGAAACCACCAAGTGGAAGAAGCTACTTGGGAGCGGGAGGACGAGATACCCTGAACTGTTGAGACAGTCAAATTGCGGTGACGAAAGTTATTGAAGGAGGGAAGTCTATAACGCCCCGAGTCCCTCAGGTTAGTTAGTCTCGAATCAGGAGATTTTTCATTTAATTTTAAATTGATTGTTAATTGAATTTATCTATATTTATCAGGCTCTAAACTCCAATTAAATTCAAATTACCGGACTCCGTGTGGTGGGTCTTGTTTTAAGGGGGGAATAGACTTCTTTTCTCTTGGGCCTTCATTTAGGTAATTTGGTTTTAAAACAAAACAAAAAGAAAAAG